AGTAGCAGTAGCAGTAGCAGTAGCAGTAGAGGTAGTAGCAGTAGAGGTAGTAGCAGTAGTAGCAGTAGTAGCAGTAGTAGCACTAGTAGTAGTAGTAGTAGTAGTAGTGGTAGTAGTAGTAGTGATAGTAGTAGTAGAAGTAGAAGTAGTAGTAGTAGTAGTAGTAGTAGTAGTAGTGGTAGCAGTAAAGGTACTAGTAGTAGCAGGTGGTAGTAGTAGTAGTAGTAGTAGTGGTGGTGGTGGTGGTGGTGGTGGTGGTGGTGGTAGTAGTAAAGGTACTAATAGTAGCAGCTTGTACCAGTAGTTGCTTCCTTGCTTCCTGCGTTCCTGGCTTCCTTCCTTCCTTCCTTCCTTCCTTCCTTCCTTTCTGCATTCCTGGCTTCCTTCCTTCGTTCCTTCCGCCCTCCCTTCCTTCCTTCCCTCTTCTCGCTGGGTTTTAATTTTTGTTGATCCCTATCCCTGGAGTAGGTGGCACGTCACATGAAGTCATGGTCTGTTGCCTGCACTGCTGGATTCTCGCATGTGCTGACAAGGATAGGGATGAACCGACTAGAAATGAGGCCTAGCAGGCTTGAAGTCGGCTTTGCAAGGCAGCGGACCCGAAGAACAATCCAGGAGTCATAGTCATAGACGGAGCACCCAGGGTTTGGTCCAACACTTTCGGCTACTGTCGTACCATGTCTTGACCAATCCTCCAACTACAATACATCCAGCACGATCCGGCGTGGACTTACCATCGATCCCTGTAAGTAGCCCTGGACCATCCTGTACCATCCTGTACCGATAAAGCACTGCAGCAGAAGGTGCAAATAACACACAAGTAAAGACACGGCAGCAAATGCAAACAAACGTACATATCTGCAAGGCCTTGGTGCTGTAGGAAAAGCATGAAGCCAAAGAACAAAGGCAGGCAAGTACACCTCTACCACTAGCCTCTACCGTCCCCAAATCTTTGCATCCGGGAGACATACGTGCTGTCCATGAGATGGCTGAGGCGAGTCCGAAGCAGCCTCTTGCACAAATGGTATTCTACATTATTCTATACTATTCTATGCATGTTCTGTATAGGAGCTTCTACACAGTTCTATGATATTCTATGATACTATGTTCCAATCTATAATACACTGTATACGGTTATATACAATTCTATACAGTTATATACCATTGTATACTGTAGGATGTGGTCTCACTTCTACATCGAGTGCCAGTCTGGAGATGCCTTTGGGATATGTGGAAGTCGCCTGCACATCGCCGTCTGAGTGAATTTATTAGGGTCCATATGTCCACATAGTAACGGTTTGGGCTTTTTGGTTTAGGGTTTAAGGTTTACGCTCTCGCAACTCGGACTCCGCCAGACGAGGTCTCTGTGTGCAACTAGACTAAGCAACTAGACTTCAGGTTGACAATCACTGCTACACCACAAAGAATATCAGAATATCGAAAACAATAGCAACCATCACCTCAACCAAGCCCCATCGAAATAAGATGCATCACATTGGCTCTTCAGTGATTGTCTTGAAATAGGGTCTAGGATTTAAGGTCTAGTTAGGGTGTGCCTGTCTAGGGACTGCTTTACGGCCAGAGTATGTACTACTTGGACACCGGCACCCTTAGGGAATGTGCACTGTCACCGATGTTTGCCGCCTGAATTCTTAAGATATCCTGGAGCCTCACAACCACGAGATCAAGCACTGAAGGACAGCGTTCAATCCGTTAAGGGAATGGGGGAATGGGGTATGGGGGCTACTATACTGGACCTTGAAGGACTGCCATCTCTCATAGGGATCCCTTCTACATCCCCCCATTCCCTCCTAGACCCAAGACCCTAAACCCCACATCCCCTGCTGGCTTCTCAACAAGCCGGTCGTGAGAAACCCGGGTGCATAGGCTCGCAGACCCAGAACACCGAAAAGTCGAAGCTCGAGTCGTCGTAGTATCGGAGCCAATACTTTTTTGGGGATCAGTCTCATAATTCTGGTATATTCAGTATATTTACTTTCCTTCTATTCTAGTGTATGCCTTAAACTGGGCCTTAATAATTGTCAATTCTAGTTTGCGGTTCTCTCTCTGCTGTTACCTCCAAATGCGTTTTTGTTGTTGACGGGTGGTCCTTTATAATTGCAAGATACTATACCCCCCCCAAACCCTATTCGGGTTACTAAGGCCCCTATGTTACCCATGCCCACTGCCTCCAAAAGACACCTGGAGACTTTAAAGTTAAAGCTCCAGGTCCGGAGGCCTTCTGCCTAAACCTTGAGCCCGAACCCCCTGAGCCCTGTAAACTTCCCCGATGCCATCCGATGCCATGCAGAAAGCTCATGAACCCCTGTGTGAGATCCTGAAACTCCCCACCACCC